GTTGGTCCCCTTCTGTTCACCAGCCTGTTTCAGAAAGTACACTCTTGGTCACTATAAACAACCCCCTCAAATCACATGAGGAATGACTGAAAAGATTAAAGCTGCTCAACCTGAAAAGAAATTAAGGGATAGTTAAAAACATGAAATAGCACACAATAGGAAAACACAGATAAAACCCCAATTTTCCTAGAGGTGTTAGGGAATGAAACTAAAATTTACAGAGATGTAAGAAGGCATCTTAGAGAACATATAACTGCACTTTGTAACTCAGCACTAATGAACACTATTGAGATCAAAAACTTAGCAAAACAAAAGCACATCTGAGTATTTATCATAAAGCTACATAAAGCTGATCACAGGAGTTAAAAAAATAGGTTTTATAAACCTGATTTTAAAAATGCAGGGACATTTCTGGTACGTCAGAGTATCCCATATGTGTGAAGCTCCTTGTGCTCTTTGATCTGCCAGAGTAGATGGACCACTGGCAAGATCCAGTTTCCAATACTCTATCAGAATTATTAGCACTAAGCTATTATTATCTGTGTGTGCACATACATACATATGTGCACACATTGTTCCCTGAACTTTCTACTTCAGGCTTATTTAATGTAATGTTTTGAAATTCTTATTAAATTCTTATTGTTAATCAGAATAAGAGCTAAAAAAACCCAACAACAACTACTTACATAGAAAAACATCTTATAAAATTGCGTTATGAACTTTTCTGTCCTTTAAATACAATCACATTTCCGATATTTTTATAGCCATGTATAAATAGAACAAAGATGCAGGTAGGATCTGAAAGCAGCAATTTTTCGCCTTTCTTTCCTTCACCTCTTTCCATCTTGGATTGATCAGAAGAAGTCTGTTAATTACTCCAATGACATTTGCAAATAAAATTATGCCAGATCCTGTTGTAAGCTCTGTTTTGCACATAGACCTACCTTGTAAAACTATCTTCATGTAGAGACATTTGTCAGCCAGATGTATTTAATGGTAAATCCATTAAATACAAAATGCTTGTATCATCTCTTCAACAAATAAAATCTATAAGCAGAAATATTTTGTGCCAACCATGTTTGGAAAAAAAATTTATGTTCCAATTGATTGGCTGATATACATAGTAATTCATCATTAAATATCACAGGGGCAAGAATAAATATCACAAATAAACATCAAAGGTGTCTTAAATTCTTTGCCTAGATTGCTGCCTTCTGCTAATCTACAAACTTCGTAAGTCTCTCACTTAGAAAGCATTAGCAAAAATATATAACAAGGACACTTTTTCATTCACTGGTGTCTGTAACAATAGTATTAGCAAACATAGGCTATTCCAAAATTGTTAATGCATTATTTCCCTACTGATGTTGCCTCTGACAGATACTGAATACAAAGGATCTCTAAGCCACATTAGTTTCAAGTTCTCTGAGGTATAGTTTACCAGGAGGCCAAATTATTACAAAGCATCATTGCTTTGTAATCATTAGCAAGAAAGATTAAATATATTCACTGTATTAACAAGTGAAGTTAAAAAAAAATCACAAATTATCATACAATACCTAAATCTCCATCTCCCCATGGCACTTCCAGCCAATTGCAATTATAAATCCTACTCATTTCCTTCAATCTGGAAAATAAAAAAAAAAATAAAATAATAATAAAAAGAAATCTGCTCTTACTAGTTGGGCCATTCTTAATACACTCCAGCTATGTCTGGAAGGAGATCAGCAGCTCCCTGTAATATGAACTTTCACTCTTCAGTAAACACAGCTCGAAGATATGAGCATGCACAAGTTGCCCATTTCTTTTCTTATGTTAAAGGACTGTGGCTGGTTTTGTTAATTTTTCACATTTCTATTTTTATCATAACAACTTCTCAAAGTGCCAGTATCTGTGCATTTGCCTTCGAAGACAGATAACTGGAATTTTAACACAAGAGAAACTCACTTGATATGAATAAACTGCAGAAGAAACTCCCTCTTTTTAAACCTCCTGCAAAGAGACAGTGTTATATCCTCAAAAATCAGTGTTAATACATAGATTTGTATGGGAAGCACTGCCAAATGTATGTATATTATTTTGCTACTTACTTATATCTATAAAAGAAATAATTTGAATAATATTTATAATATAAAAGTATAATTTGAAATAATATTCTGAACATGTTTCAAATGCTGTTTGATCTGTACACTGAACCGGGGTTTTCTTTTATTAGTTCACTATTGCCTCAAATATATTCTAAAATATTCTTTGGTTGTTAAATTGGGGTGTTGATAGCTATTCTCAGCAGTGAATGCATAATTCTCAGTGAAAATGCTCAAAAATGGGGATTTGCAATTCTGACTTTGATCCATTTCTAAGTCACTAATGTTCTCTTTCTCAAACGTTCCTACAAAATTCACTCATTTATATCTATCAACAATTACTTATAAGTCATTCCTGCAGTTGTAATCACAGTAGTAAAACATTAACTAAAAATATTTTCACAGTGGTCATTACCTCCAGTCATGCCATCCTGTTGTGTTCATTTCTAAAAATTTGTTTCATCTTCACAGTCAAAACAAAACAAAAGAGTCCAAGTCAGCATAAAAGGTACATTAAAAGTTGGATTTTCAATATAAAAACTGTAATGAATGAATCTTCTCTGTGACTTCATTGGGAGAATATTTACACCAGAGCTCAGCACTTAAGAAAATTACTGCTCTAAGGTTAAATCCCAGTCCTCAGAAGAAGCAGTATCATCAAAGAAGAATTGAAAATAGAAGCCTGACACAGCTCATTATTGGGAGGTGAGAAACCTAGAGTATTTGGAAAGTGTTGTAGCTAATATTTAGTTCTGCAAAACGAGCAAATGCTATTTACTAAGATAAGCACTGTTACTTTTTATTTCTTAAGATGTATTCTGAGTGCTTCAGTTTGTGGCAACTGTAGTAACAGACAGAATCAATAACTACAGGAGAAAAACTCTGCAACATTATAGTCCCAAAATCAGCTGAGTCAGTTCAGTTGTTAAAAGTGCATACATACATATTTGGTATATGTAATTAACTTCTAACAGATTTTTACTGTGGCACTATAAAACTATTTTTCTAAAGCCCTCATAGGATAAAGAAGAGTGTCAACTACTTAACTGATATTTGATGTTGAAAACTATTGGAAAGAATCTTAAATCAAGCATTTAAAAGTTAAGAAATTAAACATGCATATAAACAATGAAAACTTGATTGGTTTAAACCAGTATACTTTCCAGTGTTTGTCATACGGTAGACTTCCAAAATTTGGGTATTTCATTCCAAATGCAAATACCAACAACTTCCTACTCTTGAAAACCATACAAAGCAAATCTATTTTCCCACACAGTTCTGACTGCAATGCATTCATCCATTCATACTAATTTATAACTAAGGAACCAAAAGACAGGGTTTTAATGCTTAAATTGTAAAACAATCTAATAGCTTATTTTTTACTGAGTAGTTAAGCATTTGAGGGTACACTGAAAGTACAGTTTAATCATGGTTGTGAGAGCTCTGAGCTTCTGAAATTTCAGCCCTAGATAATAACTATTATCAGCCAAGGAACTTTTAGGTTAGATGACTGGTCTTAAAACACATAGGTGCCACAGCTAGACCAAGAATAGTATTTGCTTTTAGGGACATTAAAACATTAACCCTTTTTCCCTACCATCCACTACAAGCTTTCTAACCTTTGCAACATGCAGGAAAACATTGAGTGTATTTTTTCTAACTATAAACTTAATGCATTCTCAGAACACCATTCATCTTGCACATCAAAGGAGGCAGGGGCTTTGTAGAAGAGCACAGCATGTGACTACGCTGTCAAATACTGGGTTATAATGCACTAGAGGGCCAAATTAGTGTGGCACAGGGAACATTTTGAGTGCTTTGGCACTGCAATTTAGCTTTTCAGACAGAAAAATGAGCCGCTGAACTCTATAAAAAACCTGAAAAAAAAAACAACAGCAATATCTAAACATAGCTCACTTGGTTCCCAACAGAGGTAACATTATGGTACATGAAGACAATGGCAACAGCAGCAGCAGTTGCTGCTGGCTCTGTGCTGGGCCATGCATACATGGGAAGAAGTTGTCACACTCCTTCTCCCATCATGTGAAAGCACAGCTACCCTGTCAATTGCTCATGCACAGTTTCTTTTTTCCAACTTCTTGAAGGACCAACTGTCTGGATATTTTTCTAGCCTAAAGTAGCTTGAGAAGTACCATGGTACTAGCTAGTACCTAGCTACTAGAGTACCACGGTTAAAATCACATCAACCTCCAAATTCAGTAATTTGTTAAATCCCATCATATTTGATTTGAACATGTGGAGCAACATATAAAACAAAGGGCTTTTCAGTACCCTCCCCAATTACAAGGTGACGGGAAAGGCATATAGACATTCTGAGCTGAGTTCAGACTTTTGAGGACTTATGTCTGGAATGATTTTTCTCCTCAGTTGCAGTCTCAGCCTTAGACTACAGGCTGTGCTGAGATTTCTCAGTATCTTCCCAGTCTGCCTGAGAATGCAGCACAGGGCCCAATCCCAAGCCTTAAAAGCAGTACACAACTGTGCAGCAAAGCTGAGCCCAGTGTGTTGATTTTTGTCACATCCAGGAGATTTTGGTAAGATAGCCTGGTTGTGGCCCCTCAAACCAATAGGCTGAAGACCTTTTTCCAGTCTGACTCTACCCTTTCACCCTTCTATCAAATCTTATCATGATATATTCCACCCTTCACAACACTTTTAGTCCATTTTCCAATCTGCATATTTACTTACAGACTGCACTGAGGTATGACTTTCCCTTCCTTTGTTCTGCAAGGGTGCCTGCACAGTAAAGTCAGGTTTGCATACCTCCATGGATGACAACAGTAAGGGAGGAAAGAAGCATCCTTCAGATTTGATAAAAGACATACGTGTTATTAAGGGAAGCACAACAACCGAAGTCTCAACTGCAACAGAAGCCTCTCAGTACTTCATGATGTCCATCAATAAATATATATACCCAGTCTGGCAATTGCAAAGAGGTCCTAAGCAGCTGGACCATGTTAAGGTGAATTCTTCAGAAAATTTCACTTTCCATATCTTACTGTGATTCTCAGAATTTCAAAACTAGACTAATTGTGGGTAATTCTTTATAAGAATAGCAAGAGAGCCTAACCATCAACCATATCAAGGAGCAGCTAGTGCTAACACTAACAATAAACTGTTATGAAATTTCGTTTCAGCTGAGGGTGAATGTTCTAGTTCTTTGGGAACTACTGATCTAACTAGCTAAAACATCCATAAATAAAAGTTTCTGTAGGTCAGGAAATCTTAATTCAAACAGTGAACAACATAAGGGTAAAAGATGCACTGCATATTAAAATTGATGAATAAATACAACCTTACATATCACTGCAGTCGAATGGTTACTTAGAAGATAAGAAAACTGGTGCTTAAATTCTTAAATATTGTTTAATTCTAAAATTGTAAATACTCGAAATCAGCAAAGGTATTTTAAGAATAACTCTGATTCCTATAACATATAGCTATCTACATAACAAATTCACCATTTTTTATGGATATGAAATCACTCTTGCCTGTGCGCTTCTTTCCTTGACTATTTTAACATCTCCAGTTTTCAATCTTATTATCATGAATTTCAAGTTTGATTTCCAAATGTCTTTTTTTGTTTCACTCTACACCTTATAACGTCACCAATATTAAATGCAATTATGATCACTCTCTTAAAAAAATTCCTCTCAGACTCTCACAATTACTCAAAGCTCCCTTTTACATACTTGTGTTATTAAAAAAATAGGAAAGCATGGTACAGGTGCTGGGAGTTCTAAACACTCCTATTATAATGGAGTTTGTTCCTCATTCCTGAAACTGTCAGTGATAAGCAACTTAAATACCTCCTGAGTACTTCTCTATTCAAAGCCTTACAATTATACCTTTGTCTTAGTAGAGGACAATAATTCTGTCACATGTAGTTCCTCTATTGTCTTCTATTTCAGTTACCCATAAACTCTTTCCACATGAAGTTATATGTAAAGTTTACTCCTCCCCCTCCTTTCATTCTCCAGTTCCCTCTTGTAAACGGTTAACCTTCAGTATCCAGTTACCTTCTGACAGGACAGCAAAAGTCAGGGTAAGTCAAGCCTTAAACTCTTGCATAAAACAAATAGGGCAGATAAACAAGAAACGGTATTTTTGATCAGCTGATAAGGGAGCAGAAAGAACAAAAATAGCTTCAATACCCTTCTGTTAACCCATGCAAGACAATAAAGTGCCACTACCATAAGCATGCATTTACATTACAGCTAAGAAAAAAACCCAAAAAAACCCCAAAGCTTATAGCTAGAACATCACAAATTGGGTCAGCTTAGCATATTTCAGTATACAGTTTCTGAAATGGCTGCTATACTAACCTTGGCTGGTCAGAATACCCCAGCTAGCTTTCCGTTTGGCAGGACACTCCCCTATACTTTCTAGGCGTCTTTTGGGGAGATTCTGGCTCCTCTGAACAGCAGTGTTTGTTGTCATGATTTGTTTCTCGAGGGCAGCTTGTCTGTCATTGGTGCAGGTACTCTGGTCTGACGAACATCCACAAATGAATTTCTACTACCTTTTTTTCCTCCTTTCGGTTTTTCACAGAGGATCTTGCTGTACTTACTGTAGAATGGCTACAACACTGAAATCCATTCAGTAACATTTACTAGCTTGGACTAGTGACTACAGAGTGGGGGAAGGGAAGGACTGCTTTAGCATTTTCTATTTTTAAAACAGAGAAAGAATCAGCTTAGCTACAGCATGAGTCTTAACTATTTACATGATTTAAATGGAAAGAAGGTGTTAATTTTTTAATCATTTAACACAAAAAGGGAACACATCCTTACAGCTTAAGTATTCAAATGCTTTGCTGCTTGAATACCAAGCAACCTAAAACAGAAAACCAAACCTATTTTATCAGAATGGAAATTCTTTTAAGAATAGAAACAACAATTATTACTGCATCAGGCTTTACTTATATGTAATGTGCAGTTAAGAGAGATTTTGGAATTCAGGAGAAAACATGAAACTATGAAGAATTGCTGGGTTTTTGTGGTTTGTTTTTTGTTATTTTAAATAGGGCACAAGTTATTCTACAAATGTCAACTGAAAACTACATCCTGAATAAAAGCAAGCTTTCCCTACAAAAAAAAATGGTTACTTTGAAATTCTGATTCCATTATCAAAGTAAGGCTGTAGTCTTCTCACAAGAAGCACAAGTCAATATTTTTTAATAATAACAAAAAACCCCAAATAGTACTAGAACTTTTTTGTCCATGACTATGTATCACAGTGATACTATAAAACAGAAATATGCAGAGAGAAGAAATCCATGACAAAATTCCAGCATAGTTAAACAGGACAGTGATTTCTCTGTATTAATAATGTGTTAAAATGTTGCCTTTATCGTGCTGCCAGTTCTGTCTAGTATTTCATCACCATCCTCTTCTACAGATATAAAAACTAGCCACTTCAAAATTTCTTAAAAGCATATCAGCATTACTGAATTAGTGAAACTATTCTTTTTTTCTGTACCTGACAAAACTCAATCCCTAAAATGTTGAAATAATACACAGGTATTTAATGAAATTTTCTATATTCCTCTTGGTTTTCTTTAATAGAAAATCAGAGGCAATATTAGTTAGATAGAGTGAGGGAAAGAAGGAGCAGCTCAGCTGCAAATTTCACCTTGAAATTACAGCATATGAGAACTGCCTTACTTGGAATAGTGCTACAGTCTTTACAGAAGCAGGTGGGCTACTGCTATTCTCACAAGAGAGAACAAAACTGCATTCTCACAGATGTTATGCAGTTTTCAGACACTTGTTTTCCTCATGTTTTATCTACCTGAATGAACCAGGCTATCTCACGGACTGAAATAAACACTTCAATGTATCCAGCAATCAGACTCTGCAAGTAAATCTTGAACAGAGCTTTCAAGAAAGCATTCATTACAGATGGCACATTATAAATATATCACTTCTAATACTAGAATTACTTGCTACTTTGTGATGCTGTCTTCAAGTAAATGAATACTGGAAGAGGAATTAACAGGAAAGCTTACTAAAGATGTGTACACGTGTCTGAGCAGGAAGATACCAGTTTTATTCTTCAGGTGAGAAATAAGCACTGACAATTTCCCTTGCCAAGCTCATCACAGTTTTACATTTGGAATGGAATCCTAGGACTTTCAGAAGATGGTGGTGAGAATCAGGATTAAGCAAAGCATCTGGAACTGCAGAGCAGGAATTGACAGTGGTCTAAGAATACAAAACCTACTTTTTTTTTGTAGGAGTTTTTGGGTGACATCGTCAGTTGAGAATGAAGCTGGATCCTTCTACAGGAGTGGCGCAAACCTGGAAGTAATTCATACAAGTTGCTTTCCACAGATATTACAGCCTCCATTCTCTCTTACTAGTCTCAGAGGCGTGGCAAGGAAACCAGAAGGTACACAGACAGCTGCCATGGCTTCAAAGAGGAAAACCCCTAAGGTGGTCAGCATCACCTGCTCACTCTTGTCCAGAAAACTGCATAATGTTCATAATGTTCAATATGTGAACTCCATAACCAATGGAGTTAGACCAACCCTAGAATCCTCTACTTTCAAAGCATGGGTTACGGGAAAAGCATCTGTATTCCACAGACCTTTGACACTCAGTAAGTTACTTTGAATACTTTGGAGGACATCAAAATGCAATGTATTTTCATGCTTTGAAGTAGGCAAAGTTATTCAGTTATCCAGTTCAGGACTCTAGAAGCAACTTTACATTAAATTCTGCTAGGTACAACCATTCATCCTCCAGGCAATAACCATTAAAAAGTCCTATTAAAACAATTCATAAATACAACTTAGGGGAAAAAAAAAAAAGTGAAAGCTATAACAGCATCAGAAATCAACTGGAATTGTATTAGAAATATACTTGAGATATTAATATAAAGAGGGGATGAACATACAGTTAAACCCATGTAGTAAGACTGCAGAGTTTGCTATTTCACTTCCACCTCTGACATTACTATGTGATCTTCCTCAAGTCAACCATCCATGCACTGGACTACATCAGCTACAAAATAAAAATCAGTATTCCTCATACTTCATAACTTCACTAGGTAATAAAACCATGAACATTTGAAACTACTTGGCCTTAGTCCTCAGGTTCTGTTCTTTAGATTTTTCTCTATAGAAGACACACCTGCCAGAAAACCTATAACAGAAGTCTAAGCAGATGTCCAAGCATGTAAAATATACATGCTTGACCATTACTTTCCCTGACTTATCAAACAATTGATTAGGGACAGTATTTAGATTACAGTTACTCAAGCAATGCAGCTACCTGCAAAAAAAGTAGTCAGGGGAAGGGGTAGACACTACAGTCTAAGAGTAAGGAAACTGGAGGATTTTACTAATGAGTTTGGAATTATAACCTAACTTAGCATACAAGCTTTAAATAAACCACTATGCTACATTTCACTAACTATTAGTTTTGTTCAACTTTTACAACCCTGGGGGAAGAACTGTTAAAGAAAACCTTCAAATTTTTTTTAATCCAGATTTTTATGAAAAGAAACATCAGTACAGTTTCAAAATTTCCGTGTCAGTAAATAGCTCTGAATTTAAAGGGGCAGCAGTTCTTAACAGGTGGGAATGAAAATGGAAAGAAATTTTTGTTACTCCCTTTCAGCAGGGAGCTCATTCTATTTTCAAGACTGTTTTTAAGGCAATAAAGATGCAGTTGTGGTAACACACAAAAAATGTGTTAATAAAACCAGTAATACCCAAAACCTCCCACCCCTTCCAACACATGATGTAGCCCAATGCAATATAGTCCAAACTCCTATAGAATTATACATAATACCTATCCTATAGATAGACAGTTCAATCTATCTTTGGAAAAACTGGATAAAATTGCACTATTTTCAAATATCACAAATCAGCATTTTATGTGCAACTCTCTCAAGCTAGCCAACTGATGAGCCACTTTGCTTCCTAAACTGTTCTGTACTTTCAGGTTCACTCTATTTTTATGACCAGGATTATTATGGGGTCACAGTGACTGCATGGAACCTGCCACACTAAATTCTGGAACAGGACTAGCAACCGACTCTTCCTGCTGATGTGATCCACAGACTACAGCCATGAAGGGGAAAAGACAGACAGGCTCCCTGTGGTGCAGTGCCAGTACTCCAAGAGTGGCCTGCCATTTGACATGGCCAGAAATGAAACAGATGAGATCTTGGACATTACTCCCTGTAGGAGAAGCCAGGATGAAACAATTTTTAGAAAGAATTACAGAACTGCGGTTACTGACAAAAACAGCATTCTACAAGGCCACAGTTGGCCACTGTTACATTCTGCAGTGCTGGCTCAATGCCAAAGAACTTAAATGCACCATAATAGTACAGTGATAAAGCTCTAACAGCAGAACAGGGAAAGGACTGGAACAACTTTTTTTTTTTTTTTTTTTTTTGAACAAATACTTGTATCAAGTCATATTTCATGGTAAGTACAGTGTTGGTATGTCATTAGCAGTCAAACAGAAGCTTAGGCATTATTCTGGTGTCACCAGCTAGTTCTGTGTTCTCCACATCTTGACAAATACAGCATAGCTATATCAGAGCAGATATATAGATAATACTTTAATGGTCATTAGTCACTTATGCGTAAGATGACATTTCTTTATGCCACTGTAAGCACTAAAAGAGTCTACTACATATTTTTAATACAATATCATCACTGTCTCTTAGCTGGAAATCCAAATTATTATTGTTGTTGTTATTATTATTATTATTATTATTATTATTATTATTATTATTATTATTATTATTATTATTATTATTATTATTGTTAAGGTAGCAAAAAGCATAGATGGCTAGTAATTTTCCTATCTCTTCTCCTGAGATTTTGACAGTTCTTACACCTCATATCCCTGGATGCTGGAAATCATAACTGAAGATTGAAAAAAGATTTAAACTTTTGATATTATAAAGGCTTTGTCTGAGGCCTCCCAGAATTCAAATACAGATCAGTGATACATTTATTGGCTTGTGGATTTGCAATGTGTACCTGCCAGACTCCTCATGCAGACAGGCAACAGTAAGATAGAATATTTTCTAATATGTAAATTAAACCAAATCACAGCAATCATGTGGATGAACCTGGGCAAATCAGTCACCAAGCAGGCCTGGGTTTCAAATATTGACAGAGAAGAAAGACACAGGCATGAAACCAGTAGTGATCATGGGGGTGGTACAAGGCATCCCAGAGGGAATCTTCAGGTAATTCCGGCGAACGAACAGGAACAGCCACAAAGAGAGAGATTTTTATCTATTGACAGAAACACTCTAGACATGGCAGAGTAACATCCACCAGTGCAACAGATGCAGCATGCCACAATGGATTTATGACCACCCAGCCAGTATTGCTGCAGTCACGAACAGAGCTCAGTACTTAGGCATGCAATGCAATTCCCCCCAAGCCATTATCATCTAACCCTGGCAGAAGTTCACTCACTTCTTGCCTGCATTGCGAATGTTTGAGAACATCCCCTACAAGAGAGGAATGTGAATAGCAGAACCCTGGCCATAAGAAGCCTCTGGCTGAAGTAACATCACCTTCAGGGAGCCATGCTATTTTGGTCTTCCCCTACTGCCTTATGCTCCACCACTGCAAAAAAGACCATTGCAGATGGTATGGCTGAGCTTGCCCCTGTACTGCAGTTTTCTACAGATTTTCTTTAACACCAGTTTTTTTAAAAGCCTTGCAGATAAATTGCTCCAGGATTACCTCTGTCTAATTGCTATGCAACTTTAAAACCCCAAGTTTTAACATCAGAGTTCATAATGTTTCATTTTGTACTTATTTGAGTTCATCAACTTATTATCCATTTCACCCAGAAAAATAAAGAAATCAATTGATGAAGGGGATTTCCATTTAAGTTGAGTGTACACATCAAGCAAGCCAATAGGACCTAGGTTGGTGAAAAGGTAAGATCCATCTTCAGAAAAAACACATTTCAAGGAGTCACACCTGAATGAAACTGACCATAAAATACAGCTCATGGACCTTGAATAGGTCCTGACATACGTATAGGAGTAAAAAAAAAACAACAAAGGAATCCACATGACAGGTTATCCATTTCTTTCACGGTGGCAAGCATGGAAACAGGGTCCAGAATATATATTCACTAAAAGTTTCTGTAGCCTCAGAAATCTTCTTTAAGGTGAGGGATGTAAAAAATATAAAATTTGAATGTAAGTGTAAAATGCTTGCCAACAGATGTGCTTGCTGTTTGTGTTGCTGCAAATATATCTGGGTTCTGGCCATGCCAGTCTAGTTGCACCATATAACTCTCAGCAAAACCTCTTTAAGGTAGATTATGTTCTTCAGAAAAGAATGGTTCTGGTATTTTGCTGATATGTGGTGTCATTTGCTTCATTCTAAGCAAGTGTCTTACTGAATTTATTTTGAAGTATGACTCTTTGGCAGTCATACTGGGCAAAGTTATTTAGCATACAAGAGAAGGTGATGAGCTCCATCAAAAAAACCCTCCCATCTGAACTTTCAAAAAATAATATTCACACTATCATAAGCATTTTTACACCATTAGCTTACGTTCTGTATATGAAAAACAAATGCTAAATGTGGTGCCTTACACCAAGTGGTATGCTGAATAGGTATGCCACAAAATATTCCTATCATTGCTAAATGAATCTCTATTGTATCCAGGAAGCTAGTAGAGGTCTTATATGGCTTTTATTAATAGAACTGTGATCTCTGTGGAATGCAAGTTGAGAAAATTCCCCATGCCTATCTTCCCTACCTAACAACTGTTGCTGAGTGACATTATCAATTGCAACTTGTTAGAATAAAATAAACACAAAAACTGCTCTAATCATTCACTACAGTTCAAAACATAATTAAGCTTTCCAAATAGTGGATCTCTAACAGTGAAACACAGCATTATTTTCTATTCATGAGCTGCATTTAATGGACTAGTTTCTTGTGTCCATCCAAGAAGCTCTCCGTCTACAAGAGAAGGAAACAGAAGGCTCTATAGTATTTAGCAGTCTCAAGATCCTGAAAGAAGATGGGGACTCCAGTTCTGAACTACCACAACCCTGTGGATGTCTTAATTTAGCATAACTAGGAACAACTAGTGTACTGAGCTTTCCTACCATGCCTGGCCACAGCAGATACAACAAAGATGGGTAGCTCAGAACTTGCTATGCTCATTCAAGAGTAGACTTTTCTTAAGCCTGGAAGAAACCAGGGCATATTAAGCTCCCAGTTCTGCAAAAACAGTATCATATATTTTGAGAAGCTATATTCAAATACTATAAACACAATTTCT